ATCAAAGTCAAAGGGTGATGTGCCCTGGGTAGAACGAACTACATCCTGCCATCAACAGAAGGATCAGAAATGGTGGTGGTACACCTTCAACTTCTAACATTCTCCCAAAGTAAAGAGATGTCACAAGACAGGCAAGAGTACTTTGCAATCACTACTTCACTCCTTTTCTGGTACTACTTCACATAGTCCTTAGTCAACCATCTGTTCTCTTTACTAATCATCCACAGATGATTTAAGCAAAGAATACTGGTTCAATAAAAACAAATTTCATCTATGCTGCTGGCATATAGTCTAGTATAAAAATTAGTCTATGTTTTTTTCATTTAATTTTTATTTTTTTTTATTGTTAACATGTGTTTTTAAAACTTTGGGTTACACATTTTCTCCCTCCCTCCCTCCCCACCCATCCTCGCTGTAAAGGCAAGCATCTTGATACAAGTTATGGAGGCTCAGTCATACAAAACACTTCCATAGTAGTCATTTTGTGAAAAACTAATTATATTTCCCTTCATTCTATCCTACCCCCCATTTATTCTATTCTCTTTTGACCCTGTCCCTCCTCAGAAGTGTTTGCTACTGATTATCCCCTCCCCCAATCTACCTTCCCCTCTATCAACCCCCTGCTTTCTTGTCCTCTTCCCCCTTTATTTTTCTGTAGGGTAAGATAGATTTCCACATCCCATTGTGTATGTTATTACCTCCTTAAGTCAAACCCTATGAGAAGATTTACTCATTCCCTCTCACTTTTGCCATTTCTCTTCCACTGTAAAAGCTTTTTCTTGTCTGTTTCATGTGAGATAATCTACCCCATTCTACTTCTCCCTTTCTCCTTCTCCTGGTATAATCCTCTCTCATCCCTTGATTTTATTCTCCAGATATCACCCCTTCATCTTCAACTCACCCTGTGCCCTTTATCTTTCTATCTATCTATCTATCTATCTATCTATCTATCTATCTATCTATCTATCTATCTACCTATCTATACATACATACATATAACTTTTTTAGCCCCCTACTACTTTAATACTGACAAAAGACTCATGAGTTAAAAATATCATCCTTCCATGCAGGAATGTAAACAGTTCAACCTTAATAAGTCTCTTATGATTTCTCTTTCCTGTTTACCTCTTCCATGTTTCACTTGAGTCTTGTATTTGAAACTCAAATTTTATATTCAGCTCTGGTCTTTTCCTCAAGAATGCTTGAAAGTCCCCTATTTCATTGAACAGCCATTTTTTACCCTGAAGGATTATACTCAGTTGTCCTGGGTAGGTGATTCTTGGTTGTAATCCTATCTCCTTTGTCCTCAGGAATATCATACTCCAAGCCCTCTGGTCCCATTATGTAGAAGCTGCTAAATCTTGTGTTATCTTGATTGTGTTTCCACAATACTTGAACTGTTTCTTTCTGATTGCCTGCAATATTTTCTCCTCGACCTGGGAACTCTGGAATTTGACTACAATATTCCTATGAGTTTTCCTTTGGGGATGTCTTTCAGGAGGTGATCAGTGGATTCTTTCAATTTCTATTTTGCCCTCTAAAATATCAGGGCAGTTTTCCTGGATAATTTCTTGAAAGTTGATGTCTAGGTTCTTTTTTTTTTTGATCATGGCTTTCAGATAGTCCAATAACTTTTAAGTTCTCTCCTGGATCTAATTTCTAGGTCAGTTGTTTTTCCAATGAGATATTGCACATTCTCTTCTATTTTTTCATTCTTTTGGAATAGTTTTACAGTGCCTTGATTTCTCATATAGTCACTACTTTCCAATTGCTCCATTCTAACTTTTAAGAAAGTATTTTCTTCAGTAAGCTTTTGGGACTCCTTTTCCATTTGGCTAATTTTGCTTTTTAGGGCATTCTTCTCCTCATTGGTTTTTTGGACCTGTTTTGCCATTTGGGTTAGGCTACTTTTTAAGGTGTTATTTTTTTAGGTCTCCTTTAGCATCATTCTCAGTTTTTCTCCTACATCTCTTACTTGCTTCTCAAAATCCTTTTTGAGCTCTTCCATGGCCTGGGACCAATTCATATTTTTCTTGGAGGCTTTGACTTCCTTGTCTTCTTCTGTATGTATGTTTTGATCTTCTTTGTCACCAAAGTAATATAATATAGTCTGACTCTTTTTGCACTGCTTGATCATCATCCTGGCCACTTACTTGAATTATAAACCCTTTCTTAAGGTAGGGGTTCATTTCCAGTGTGGATAATGTACTGTCCCAAGTTTCAGGGGTTTTGTGCAAATGTTTTCAGAGATACTTCCAGGGACCTGTAAATTTTCAGTTCTTCTAAGGTGCTATGATCAAGGGTGAGGTGTTTACTCTATTCCTGTCCTATGCTCTGCTCTATGAGAGACTACAAGCACTATTTTCTGTCTTGGAGCTGTGAGGAGGATTTCCTCTCCACAACCACTACAAGGTCCACCATGCCAGCACCCCTCTTTAGCCCAGGACTGCCAACCAGAACTGTGACCCAGATCCAAGCACGGGTAAAGAAGAGAATCCTTCAACAGCAAGAGATTCCTGCTATCCCCTCTGATCAGTCACTTTGAGTTCCTCTCAGTCTGTGGGCCAGAAGCTCAGGAGGCAGCTGCCTCCCTGGTGCTGAGCTTGGGGAATGGTGCTGGGACCCCGTGCTTCTCTCTCACCACAGAAACAGACTTTTCCCACTGATCTTCTAAATTGTCTTTGGCATTCATGGGTTGAGAAATCTGGAAACTGCCACAGCTGTCTGTGATTCAGTCCTCTGAGGACTGCTCTAGGTTCACAGCATAACCAGAATTTGGATCCTGAATCCTTGACACAAAATCATGCATTCTTTCCATTTCACTATGGGACAAGGATAACAATAGTGAATATACTATCAAATTCCCTTGAAATGTTGATTGTTTGTGTGAATATCTCTCTCTCTCTCTCTCTTTCTCTCATCTAATTGTTTTTTGTTTTTTAACAAATGTTAGTATAATTTAGATGTATTTGATGTTGGAGGAAACACATTTTTAAAACTAAGCAAATGTATATAGCAAATATTGACTATATCTAGAAAAGAGGTGGTAGGTAGCATCTTAGAGGCAGTGGAGAGAATGATGGATTTTCTAATAAGGAAAAACAAAATTTTAAATTTGTAAGATGTTCAGTATTTGTGCAGACTTGTGGAAATCATTAATCTCTCTGGCCATTGGGACCTTCAACTATAATACTAATGTAGAAAACTTGGTGACCATTGAAATGACTTCCTTCTCTGAAGGATGGAACCACAGTTTGGAGTTGTAGCCAAACTGTACTGAATAGTATTCTCTTTTCTATTGGTCACCAAATTTGTTGTTGTTCTGGACAGAAAATTCCCTATATAAGGAAACTGAGTTTTGGGAAAGTGAAATAATCATTTTATGATTTACCAGAACTTGATCCTTTACTCCAATGACCTCTTTTTCAGAATAACATGAGGTTCAACAGCTTTTTTTTAGCTTTAAAATTCAATGGTTCTATGCTTTAAAGTTTGTATATTCTAAGACCGTGATGAGTGGGAATAAGATTTTTTTATCCTTTTGAAAGCATTAAAAGAAATGAGGATCCAAAAGTCACTACTTATTAAAACAAAGGGACTGATTGTTGGGTAACACAAGTTAAATAATGCAGAAATATGTATCACCCACAGGTCTGCAACTTTAGAATTATCCATAACAATAGCCATGATGGTACTGATCAAACAAAAGCATATAAAAATGCTCATGAGCAACAGGATGGCTTTGTTAGCTCTGGTCTCTGCTGAGGAATGGCAGCTGAGGCTGGTCTTATGAATGTGCTGGACTTGCCAGTGGTGTCTGAACAAAAGAAGCACCATGTAGCCACTGGTAATGGCCATGAATATCACAAACTGAACGTCATAAAGTGACTTCCAAATTACAAGTTTTAGAGTAGGCACATATACACGTCTGTAGAACAATATCCTATGCTTCTACTTAGCATGCTGTTTGTGTAGTTCCTAGGACCAGTCACATACAGTGCCACAGGTATATCTGTCAACAGATTGAGGACCCAAATAAAGACACAGGATTGCACAAGACACTTTGGGGCCCTAGATTTGAGCCCTGCCCATATGCTACTGCCAGAACTGATAGTGATGGCCTGGTAGACACTCAGGAGGCAGGAAGTGCAAATTGAAACACCCAGAGCTACTCTTTGCAGATAAATTACAATTTTACATTGGATGTCACTCATGGAAAATGTGTGGATGCAAACGTGTACTGCAAATGGAATTGCCTTGAAGATAATCAGCACAATGTGAGAAAAGAACAAATTAATGAAAATCAGGTCAATGGGTCTTCTCCTTTGATTAGAAGAAATTTGGGATGTGTCTCAAGGAGAAACAATTCCTTTCCTCAGGTAAAAATCACCATCAGCAATTATAAAAGAATCTTGATACAAAGATACAAGAAGTAATTAAACAAAATTGTTCTGAAGCATTAGAACAAGAAGGGTAAGTAGAAACAGAAACAAATTCACTGATCACCTGAAAGGAAAGGAAAAGTACAGAAAATTAAATATATACATACATATATATAGGAATAATATGTATTCTATGATATATAATATATGTATGTATGTATTTATGTTTGTATAGGAAGGCAAGGTAGCAGGTAGAAGTAAAGTAGGGGAGTCAGGAGGGTTAGGATATATATTTTCACAAATACAAAAAGAAAGATTAGGAGTAGAATCTGTTAGGGAAAGTATATGTTTATATATGTATATATGTGTGCATGTGTATGAGTATATTTGCATACATGGATTTATATATCTACATATAAATATAACTGCACCTAATTGTAGCCTGGGGGGTAGGGCTAGGAAGGGGGAAAAGGTTTAAAGTAAAAAGAGTACAGCAGAGAAGGAAAGAAACCTACAAGGAAGCAAAGGAAAGATGGACAGCTCTCAACACAATGTGTAGTATTTAATATATAGGCTTGATTGAAATGGAAATTTATTGCTATATATTTTGAAGCCTCTCTTATGTTCTGTTGTGTACATGACATTTTTTTCTTATTTTATATTCAAGTTTTAATATATACATCTATAATACATTTGTTTTTCTTGTCTTATAATGTATTTAATTTTCAATAAAAAAATTTAAAAGTCCTTTACTCTCAATAAAGAAGAAATCTTATTTTTAAGATATAATATATACAGAAAATGAATGGTTAGTAGCTAGATCTAGAGACGAGGTGGCAATATGACACAGTGCACAGGTCTGTAGATTTTCTAGTAAGGAATATTGAAATTTAAAATTGCCCTCAGGTCCTCACTCTCTGTGTAACCCTAGGTAAAGCATTAAACATTGGCAATTGACTCAGTCAGGTATATATTAAATGCTTTGAAAGTGTTGATGATAAAGGTGCCTTCTTTCTATGAAGCATGAGACCACAGCTTGGAATTCTTTTCAACCTTCAGGGAACATTCTTCATTTTCCTACTGACCCCCAAATTTGCCATAGTTTTGGACGGAATGGCCCATGAGTAAAGAAAGTTATCTTTGAGAAGTCAAAGTCATCATTTTCTGGTTTATTGAAAGCTGATCCCTTGCTCTCATGTCCTCTTTTTCAGAATAACATGTTCAGATTGGTATTTAAATGGGTTTTTCTTAGCTTTAAAACACCATGGCTCTCTGTTTTAACATGTTTGTTCTCGAAATTGATGATTAAGACTTTTTCATCTTTTTGAAAGCAATATACCAATTGGGAATCTGGGAGTCACTGCTGATTAAAATAAAGGGACTGATTGTTGGGTAACCCAAGGGAAAAAACAGAAGACATATGTATCACCATAGGTTTGTGTCTTTGTAATTATCCAACACAATTAGAATAGAAGCACACAAAGATGTTCATGAGCAAAAGGATGGCTGTGGTACCTCTGGTCTCTGGGGAAGAACTGGGGTTGAGGCTGGCCTTATGAATGTGCTGGACTTGCCAGTGGTGTCTACACAAAACAACCACAATGTAGCCACTGGTAATGGCCATGAACTCCACAACAACTGTGTCATAAAGTGACTTCCAGATTATATGTTTTGAGATAGTCATGGCATACCTGTCTACAGAGCAAAGCCCAAAGTTTCTACTCAGGTTACTGTTTGCGTTGCTCTTAGTGCCAGTCACAGACAGTGACACAACCCATCTATCAACAGATTGAGAACCCATATGACAACACAGAATAGAACAATATATTTTTGGGCTCTGGCTTTGAGCTCAGCCCATATGGGATAGCCAGAACTGATAGTAATTGCCTGGAAGGTACTCAGAAAGCAGATAGTAGAAAGGAAAATGCCCCAGGTCACTCTTTGAAGACAAATTATGATTTTACATTCAATGTCACTCAGGAAAATTTTTTGAATGCAAGAATAGATTGTCCATGGAACTCCTCTCAAGAGAATCACTAGAAAGTTGGAAAAGGCCAAATTAATGAAAATTAGTTCAATCGCTCTTAAGCTTTGACCAGTGATGATAATAAAGCCATACAAGTAAAGGAGTAAACCATTCCCAAAGTCCCAATTATAATCTGAACCATATAGAAAGTACACAGGATATCATCATAAGAATGCATTTCTAGTGGATAGAGTGCTGGCCCTGAATTCAGGAGGACCTGAGTTCAAATCTGGCCTCAGACCAAACACTTGACACTTACTAGCTGTATGACCCTGGGCAAGTCACTTAACCCCAACTGCCTGAAAAAAAAATGCATTTCTTATTTTCTTGTATAGAAAGATGGTAGTCTGATCTGAAGCTACCTGGGAATGAAAAGAGAGGATTGTCTTAGATCAAGTGATGTGAAATGAGATTCCAAAATGCTCACTACTCACACAAGCTTCAGTAATCCCGTTTATTATATAAATATACAGTTTTAGGAAATGCTTTTCTCATACCTTTTTTTTTGAGGTTAATAATGCAAGTATTCCTATCTTTTGGCATTATAAAATGTTTGCACTTATAAGTAGGGATTATTCATTTATTATATTGTTTTGTCTTTGATGTCTTTGTGAATATTTGTCTAATTTTAAGGACATTGATCTTTTAAAGATTATCTAGTGACTGATGACAAAGGTCATGAAGGGATTATAGAAAAAAATGTAGGATGCATGGTATAGGAAAAGTGAAATGTTTTGCCTTAGGAAGAAAAGGCTTCAGGGAAAATCCAAAGGAAAAATGATTAAAAATCACTAATATAAAGAGGCAGTCTACATTTTTTGAGAAATGAAAATTTTGATGAGAAAATAAAATTATAAATATTCTATGTTTAATTGGATTGTAGATAAGGGGAGATTTTAGAAAATCTTAGAAAATACAAATATGTAGAAATATGAATATGTAGAAAATATGAAGAGCTCATATGTGGATTTTTTTTTCTGTTTTGAACCAAAAGTTAGAAATAGAGCAATATTTGAAACAAAAGAGAAACATGTTTAAGTTTTCCAAATTGATCAAAATCCTAAGAATTTTTCAACAATATGCTAGGCTTTCCTGAAATGTGATGTTGATCTTTGCGAGAGACCTACATTTAAAGATTGACTGACTACTTATAGGGAATATGGCAGGCAAAATATAATTTTATAGATACATATTGGAATAGAACTCCCTTCTGTTTTTGAAAGACTTGATTTATTTCTGGATTTCCCTCCCATTCCTTATGTAATCTACTAAAAATATACCAAAACAATTAGTATTGTCAAGCACTTTATTGTGCCGGTCCAAACCGCGCACACTCTTTCAACCTGATCAGCCAACCAGAGTCATACTCACGTCTCATCGGAGGCCACCCAGGTAAACCAGAAATGAGCCGATCGGGGGGTGCAAAAACCTGAACTTTATTCAATAATCATCACAGCAAGGCCAGGCAGGAAGGCACATGCGCGGGCAGAAACAAAAGCCAACTCCAACCCCCCCTCCCTGCAGCTCTTTTTAGTACCTTCTTCGTCCCTCCTCCTCAGCCCGCCCATAGTGACTCGTCGAGGATCAAATATCAAAAAAGGGATGTCCAGCTAGTGTCCAGACAAAGGGAGCATACGTGGCACAGGAAGTGGGTCCCAGAGATTTGGAAGGAGGCGTGAGGGATCAGTGCATAGACAAAAGAGAGTATACGTGACGAAGGAAGTCGGGTCCAGATACCGGGGGGAGGTGTCTGGGGTCGGTGCTACACCTAGGGAGCATATGTGACTCAGGAAGTCAGGTTTGGTCACAGGAAGGAGGCGTCTGGGGTCAGCATAGTACCTAAAGAAGGAGGCTAGACAGAGAGAGCTCGTTCTCTGCCGTCCCCCTCCAAGTGGCACAGTCCTTGCCTAGGGAGCGCGCACTCCGGCCACTTCCCTGTACCCCGCTTCCTCCCCAGCCTGTCACAGCTCCATCCAGCACTGCTCCAGTCTCGGGAGTGAGAGCTCCAGTTACCTCTCCGAGCCCAGATCTCATCCCAGTACGTTACAACTCTGCCCAGCACCGCCTCTGCCCCTGGAGCAAGAGCTCCAGTTACTTTCTGGTACCCAGTTTCCGTCCCATGTTGGCACAACCCCCATCTGGCAGTAGCTGGCATCAAACAGTCCCTCACACTTTATGTATTTCAAAGGCCATCTAAAATAGTTTAAGACATCCAGTTCCCTATTGTTCCACTGTCAATTTTGAATGTAGCCATTATGAAAGGTTCAGGAAGAATCAAGGCCATTGGGGCCAGGGATGCTGGTTGACCTGTACTTACTTTGGCTAGGTATCCTAAGTGAGCAGCCATTCTTTGTAGATTTTGGAGTTGCTAAATTAAGTGTTCATGGCATTTATTCAGGCCACTTGGGATTACACAGAGAAGACAAGTAGTTTCAGTTGTAGGCTTTTGCCAAGCTCATATGTCCTTTGACTTCAAGGATTCTAATGCCATTAGTATAAAGTCACCAAGGAGAAGCTTTCTACAGATAAATTATTGTCACAAATGTTACTGTCCCTGATGCTGAGCTGTCACTCAGAATTATTACAGTAAGAGCCTTTAAGTGTTCCAAAAGGAGTATAATTCTCAGGACACACTCTCAGAATGCAAGAATCTTCCAAAGCAGTGGAACATAAGCACTGAAGTGCAAGGAGATGTTAGGGAAACAATATTTAGATGGTTGTTGTTACCTGCCTCATAGACTCCTGTCTCCTAGACACATTAAAACATTAAGTAGGTGGGGCTTAATAAAAATAATGTTGTTGTCTCCCCCAATACCATTGTGTTATTTCCTAGCTCAGATATTTTATTTCCCATCTGTCTTTTTCCTGCTCTACGTGACTGTAAGGTTACTGATATTTGTCTGTTCATGATTTAATCTCATGTTACATCAGTATATAATCATTGCCCGAGACTTACCCAAAATTGACAACATTATTAGTTCCCTGCTTGTGAGGGACTGTCTGATGTTGGCAGCTACCAGGTTAGGCGTTGTGGCAAGAGTAGGGTAAGATCTGGGTATTTTGGAAGTTGAGGCAGGGGCTGTGGTAGGCAGAGTCGTGGTGAACTGGGATGGGCTGGATTCGGAGAAGCCCTGAGGCAATGGACGGTGCTTGTGAGATAAGCTGGGTACAAGGAAGTAGCTGGAGCTTGAGCTCCTGAGGCAAGGGGCGGTGCCACGTGGGAGTGGGATGGCAGAGGACTGAGTTCCCTTTGCTTAGTCCCCTCCCTATATGCAACGTCATCCCCAGACGCCTCTTGTGACCTTCCTGACTTCCTGGGTCCCTTTGTGCAGCACTGACCCAAACCCCTCCTCCCAGTGTCTGAGCCTGACTTCCTAGGTCATGTACTCTTGTCTATGCACCATTCCCAGATGCCTCCTTCCTATATCCGGTCCTAGCCTCCTACGTCACTCCCTCCCCCTTGGTGTGCTAAACTCAGAAAGCCCCTTCCAGTATCTGACCCTACAATCATTGGCTAGTATGCGGGCTGGGGAGGAGGGGCTAGGTAGGTTTTTAGGAACAAGCGTGGTCAGATCACACGCGCTCTCCCCTGGCTCCTGCCCTGTTGCTCTGGCCTTGCTGCTTGGGCTTGCTATGATGGCTTGCCGTGTTGTCCTCTGAATAAAGCTCTGGTGTTGGCGCCTCCCGATGGCTCGTCTCTGTGTGTTGATCCGGCTGAGGACCGAAGACTCTGGTGTGAGTAAGACTCTGGTAGTGTGCTTATTATAAGAAAAGTGGGTACCGGCGTACGGCTGGCAGAAGGTCCGCGTGCGGCCAGTATACCTGCTATACATCGGGAATTATGCCTAGGTTTTTATTTCATTTTTTCTTTCCTTTAGACATATTATCAATATATTAGCAAAAATATCACAGTCACAAAGTACATTACACTGCTGTTGAAAGTTAATAGCATTCTTATAGTTATACATTATATCTATTCATAATTATTCTATATGTTGCATATCTCATTACAGGTTTAGCATTATAGGCTTTACCAATACATTTGTTATTATTACTACTTGAAAAAAAATGCAAGCTGAAAGTATATATATTGAAC